GGGCTTGTTTTTATGAAAGATGGAGCAATAGACACAGCAGACTTTGGCTGTACAGAAGTACAGACTGGCTCTATTTTTAGTGTCCGTCTTACTTCTTTTCCTCCTCGTGCATTTCTTTCAATTAAGAATGATTTGTAGACTCCACTTCTGTCCCATCGCTCACCTTTCCCCTAGACTCAGGTGATTGAACTGTGAGAGCGCCCTCTTCAGATACATAACATTAATACTTTTGTTCTATTGGAAATAGCTTACTTCTTCACTGATGGTGAAAATACATGAAACCTGACTTTTTCTGTTTAAATGCACATTATCATTTCCTGTGACTAAATATGTGGAAAACCTTTGAAACCATAACTGATAAATAAAATGAGCTATGCGTTAACTCCAAAGTGATGTTACTTAATTACACTTAATTAACCTTAAGCATCAGTTAGATCTTAGCTCTAGAGGTAAAATTCCGTATTAAATCTCCGGTAAACAAAGTTGCAAAATACTACAAACAAAAATCAAAATGCACTGATTTTAATTTTTAGTAAAGTAGAACGAGGAGCTTGGTTGTAGGATCATTAGCCCACCCATTTGGGAGGAGCTGATAGTAGAGCCATTAATTCTCCACGTAATAAAGAACTGGATTAGGTGGTTTGAGCATCTGACTAGGTTGCCTCTCGGTCACCTTGGCATTTCCTGCTAGGAGGAGACCCAGGACACGCTAAAGAAGTCATATCTGTATACTGGCTTCGGCAGTGTCCCCCAGCCCCTCAGCTTTGGCCGGGGAGAGGGAGGTTGGAACGTCACTGGTCTGGTGTCTCTGATAATACTGCTGCATTTGGGATCAGTATCCATATAAATACCCAAATGGATGGATGGATGCACTGAATTGCTGTGTAAAAGGTAAACAGGAATAAAATCACAAATCCAGAATATTTGAAAAATCAGATTTTACAGCCTCACAGTCTCAGAAACAGAATAACAGGACCAATTTTTAGGGAGGTAATGTTCTGATTTTCATGTTTCAAACTACATGATAACACCAGCATGTTTTTCTTCATTATATTCAGAATCCCCTCCTCCCCACAGATATATCAGCTGATAATATCTTCCACCAGTCAGGCTCTATAATTTTCTATCTACATGTCAAAAAGCAGTTCTAATATAATTAGGACGACTTGTAAAAGCACCAAGCTGCTAGAAACACGTTAAATATGTTTCCTGAGCTGTTTCACCGCAGGCTCTTCGGCCCCCAAAACATATGATTTGTGGTAATAGCTAAATGTAATTCATAGAAAAATATTGCTTTCTGATTGTCACAGCATTTGAATCCAGACATGCGAAACCAGAAGACGTACGTTGATGATGATCCCTCTCTTGGCTGTGTGTTTTTCGCTTTTCCCAGAAACAGACATTTGAGGGCAAGAACTTGGAAACCTTTCATGAGAGGGAAGGTTTCTTTTCTTTTTTTCCAAAGCACCTTTCTTTGCTCTCGGGACTGCTCACTATACTTGTTCTTTTCTCATTGCTTAGTTGGCACTCCTCTTGCGCAGGAAGGATAACTTGGACCACATGCTTGTTCCAATTAAGACACTCGCTGTGGGAATTCAGAAGCTGCCCTAGAGTCACGGAAAAGCTTAATATAAAGAAGACACTTTTGCACAAAGGACCCCATTATAATGCATTTGGCTGCTTTAAGCATCTCGAACATTTAAAGTTTTTGTGTGTGTGTGTGTGTGTGCCTACAAACCTCAGTGGAGAAAAAGATGAAAACAATTGTAAAAATCTGAGAGGACAAATATTTTGCACAACTCAGGCCCCTTCAACAAAAACAGACCAATAAATACCAATTAACTCTATAGCTTTGTCAGTAATTAGTCATTACCTTGATTAGCCTCCCTGTCCACTTAGATTAATAGAGAGCAACATCTGCCAACAGTGCAACAGTGATGAGATGGGGATTTGTTTCTGCACTAAATACATTTTACTGTGGCACTAAAACAATTTTTCTCTTAGAATAATCACTTTCCCCTTTTCTCTAGAAAGATTTCTGAATACATGATAATCAATTATAAAATAATTAAGAAATGAAACAGATTGAAAACAGTAAAAAATATGAGACACGTGCAATAACTCCAGATCTCCAGATCTCATGTTTTAATCCTTCTTCAGTATCAAAGTAACCCATTGACAGCTGTACCGTCATGATGACAACTGTTATTAACTGGACATATTTAATTGGGCCAAACTGGTGAAGTGTCACAAAATCTTCTAGTTTACTTCCCTGACACATTAAGCAATCCACAGTTAAAGCTGCAAGAGAAACTACCAGGAAAGGTCAGGAGTAGGAGGTGAACTACTGCCTAACTCACAGCAGTCAGTGAAGTTTTTTCATTCAGTGTCTTTATTACTTTTAAGAATAGGGACAAACCTGTTTGGATTCATGTCAAAAACCTATACTGCACTGAAATAACACGTGAAATGTCCTTAAAAGTAGCGTGTGATGAAAATGGCATAGAAAGAAACTGATCCAGGTAAGGTATTTGATGGACTTTAGTTTGGAAATAAAGAGAAATAAAGTTAACATTTGAAATCTTAATATATATGTCTTAGTGTATTAATTGATTTGAAAGAATAGGAATTACTGCGGTACGGCAATGGCATGTGTCATCAGAATCAGAATCAGCATACTTTATTAATCCCTAAGGAAATTATGTGGGTTACAGTTGCTCCAATACAGTACAAGAAAGAGACTAAACTATATGACAATACAATGTGTTGCAGATGTATTGTCATGTGCCATTTATGTGGCCCAAAATCATTAGCAAGCCAGGCTGAACACTGTATCGTGTGGGCCTGAAATTAGGTGGGCGTGTGACTGACATGCAGAAGCCAGTGTGGCCCATAAACTGCAGCTGTGGGGCACATCTGGGCCAAAAATTCATTTTGATCTGGGTACCATGATCAACTTTATTTATATTTCAATTTTGTGTTATAATCTGGATATTTCTTTATTAGACCTATTTTTATTAGTAGGGGTGTTTTGTAATATGTTGTATTATTTAGCATTGGTACTTTAACTTGTTTGATCTGGTCCTGTAGTAGAGAGATCCTTCAGACGCTTAGTTTTGAAGGATCTGAAGGATCCCTTTTCACATAAATGGAGGCCATTTATGTGATAAGGGAAAGCCCATCTCTGAATTGAGGAGGTGGCCTAAGGGTACATCTTTCACCATCTTACAATGCTGTGATTGCAGCCATTCCCCCAACTCTCTGTGAATGGTACCAATGGCCATTGATCAGTGGTTGTTCATCAGCGGTGATAGTTTCAGTCATTATGCAAATGTACTGTTTATAAGATTGGGGAAACCTGCAGTCAGCTGAGACTGAAGAAGTCACTTGGATGAGTGACGAAACGTTTCTCCCACTGAAAACTCTACATCCAGATGAACAGAATCAACTTTTGGGAGCTTAGTTCTGTTATTTGTGTGAGCACTTCACTTTTAGGGATGTGCAAAAAAAATGACAAAAAAAGAGGAAGAATGTTTTGACATGCATTTTCTCTACTTTCCTCTAAAACAGCTGTAGGAGACATTGTTATGATCATAAGACTCAAATAAATTTCTGCTGACAGCACCTGTCCACGATTGTGTCACATTCATTTCCTCACATAAATCCCAATCACCCCCGGCACGATTGGTTCAAACACACACCCCTTCTCCAGTTGCAGGGGCTTACATCAAGTGACTGCAGCGCAAACACAAACAATCCCACCCAGGTAGGGATACACAACGCGCTGCCCTGTGATGTATTCCCTCATAAAAGGAGATTATTGCTGACACGTGCAGTGTGGCCATTTAAGCCGTAAAACATCTTTTAATCAGATGCAGTCCAGTGTCACGATGCCATGTGATTTAGCTCCCGAGGCTCCACACATGCTCTGCAGCTCTAATCGTCACAGCACTCGAGTCTCAGCAGCCACAGCTCTGCTGCTGTAATCACCCCCTTCCCCAACTTCTACTGAAACAAGCTGACCACTCTGAAAATCTCCCACAGCATCCTCCTTCAGTATCTCCCTCAGCCACCACCCCCCCTCCCCCCAACCCCTTCCAGTGTGACATAAAGCAGGATCAGACACAGTCACTCAGTGAACTTTTGCTTGGCTGCACACCACACCACACTTTGCCTCTCCAGGGGGACTTTAAAGAGCATCAAAACGTCTGTGACGAAATCAGTGAAGTGAAATGGGAGGAATCAAGAGCTGCTGGTCTGAGGGTGGTGGAAAGTGTGAATTTTCCAGCGAGTGTTTGTG